AGAGCCTCCTTCGGGTTCCTCCCGTCCGTAGGAAGAGAGTTTAACCGAACAGTCGCTCAGAAAGTACTGGGTCGACTGACTCAAGCATCTCCTTTGAATTTATGAAAAGGAGCCCTTCACTACATCTCAATTTTCAAAAGGTATAATTCATATAAAATAAAAATTTGATTATAACCTAATTATATCCAATAAAGGATCATATGCAATATAGATGAACAAGTCAACTAGAAAATTGAAAATAAATACTGTATCTAAATTAAAGACATATCATAATAGATCATTCCATCTTAAATAAACCAACAATGTTTTGCGACAATTTTTAATATCAGCTTGAGGTTTTTCTTGTTAAAAAGTTAAATAATTTTAACACAGTCAACATTAGAGAGAAAAAATAGTGAATTTTATATAGTGTTTTTTCAAGACTTAGCACGAGCAAGATAAATTCACGAATTTGGACAAAAAAATGGCAGAGTGACACTGTTTTGTAAAAGATCCCTTTTATGTTCACATAAGATTTTATTTAAATTCCTTGAGGTTTCTCCTATGTATTCCTTGTGGCAATCATTACAACTCCTTCAAGTTTTAGCTTATTATTTTGTTTTGTAATAAGTATTTGAAGCCGAAATGCATCATGCAATAACTTTTTCCACTTTGTCATATACATATATATATATATATATATATTATAATTATTTTTTAAAAATATGATTCCTTCACTACATAAGAGTTCTCATGTTTCAAAAACGAGAGCCAAAAACCTCAATATAATTATTAAAATTAAATTGAGTTAAAGTATCAAGCTCTGTTTCATCCTCAAGCGAAAATTTAGGAATAACCAATCTTAAAATTTACGCATCTTTATAAGCATGTTGCAAAATTAATTACTATGGAAACGGCTGCGGCGACCATTTTGGTAAGGGGGTATAAGTGATAATTTTTATCCACATATCAGTCACCTTCGGAAGAGGTCAAGCTGAATATAGGGTGGGGGCATCCATTTCAAAGCGAATGATGGCATTCATGTGCGTACATCGTCTGGTCAGTCAAAACGATATATATATATATATATATATATATATATATATATATATATGTATGTATGTATGTATGCATGTATTTGCTATACATTCATAGATATAATGCTGAAAAAACATCACCCGTGCTGTCAAAAATACCTTCATTAGATGTTGAATCTGGGCAGCTCAGGTTTTGTGGCTGAAGCATCATTGCCATTAACCCAGATCTTCCTAGCAGCCCCCCACCCAGGTTTTGTTGGTTTTTAACAGAAAATTAATAGAGTAGGTGGCGAAAAACAGAAAATGGTGTAAGATAAGATAGGGATGTCTCATCTGACCTGATATATTCAACCTCTACAAAAAGGACATCTGAAGGGAGTTGGAGAAACTGGAAACAAAAAAGAAAATTATGCATAAAGACAGCTGAAATTACTTTAACACATAATGAGGAAAGAGGGCTTGGAGAATTTGACATTCACAAGACATACCAAAAGAAAAAGGGACAAGGGAAAGCAACAGGCCACCTACATGAAGAGCTTGCGTGAATGAATGGCTGAACAGAGGCTGGAAGGGAAAGTCAAAAAAAGCAAATGCTACCAAGAGCTACAAGTGATAGGAAGTTGTGGAGAACCGTGATCGCTCATGTCCCTTCAGGACATGGCTAATAGATGTGAAACCATTACCATGACCTTAAAAACAAACAACGGTATCTCTGAATTCTGTAGAGTGTTTCTTAGTTTTTAGCATTATGGTCGATTGATACAGTGTACCACCATCCCAAGAATGTTAATTACTTACTAATTACTTACTACTTAGAACATTCTAGAATAATCTACATCTGATTTGGACGAGACACCTAGAAATCTACATTCCCTCATGCTATTAGATTACTTGTTATCGGATGCTTCATCTTTTTTTAATATATTATGCCAATGTATTTGTGGAAGTATTTGCTCATATTAATTTTATACTATTGTTCAACAAATTCAAGGCCCACGAGCCACTCAATGTAAAGGGTGAGCGTGTTTTAACATGAAATTCAGCAATCGGGTTGAAATTTCATCTGAGACCAGTAAGGCCTTCAAGTAAGGCATGAATCCATTTACCCTGAATTTCCTCCTATTGTTTTGATTTGCTTTATTATGTGAGCATTAAAATATGACAGAAAAAAGCATAATATTCTGAAGAGGTTGCAAGTAAACATAAAACAATTCTTAACTGAGTTCAGGGTGGTGTAATGGATGGTGGCTCAGAATGGTAAATTGGAGAGCTGGGTTCAAATTCCAGCTAAGTTCGTAAAAATTCTCTTACGCACAAATACCCTTGGGGAAGGTATGAATCCATCTCTTCCCTGAGCAAATAGCATGACTGACTGGCTGGATTTCTAGGTGTCTTCTCCAAATCAGATGTAGAATATTCTAAGTAATTAGTAAGTAGTTAACATTCTTTTGATGTCCTGTGAATGTCAAATTCTCCAAGCCCTCTTTCCTCGTTATGTGTCAAAGTAATTTCATCTGTCTTTATGCATAATTTTCTTTTTTGTTTCCCTTTTCTTTAAGACTTCTTTCTTTCTTATGTGCTCTGTCCATGGTATTCTCAGCTTGGTTGGCAACTAATCTAGGAGAAAGAAAACTAAATTAAAACCAACCTAGAGATGGTTTGGCACCATCAGTATCTCTTGTTCAAGACACACCACTGCTGCATCAGCTGAAGTACATGTAGTGCCCCTATGACCCTCAGGGGTTATGGGTCTCGTGATCGTGATTCTTAATTTAGAATTTAATCTGAGATGAATAAGTGTCAATATACTTTTATTATTTTGAGCTAACGTTCACATCTTGGTTGATATGGATCTTATTATAGACACAACGCTTCGACCAAGTACCTTCTGGTCATCATCAGGTGTCCATTGTTTGGCCGATGTGAGATATCTGTTGATTACTGTGTTATTTTTGTTCCCGTGTTGTCAATTATTGTTCAATCCTGCTGAACTTGTGCTTCAGTACCTGATCCAGGAATTGAACACGCAACCTCTATGAGACAGTAACACATGTGTAATCAACTTGTATATCTACTATGCCACTGTCCTGAAAGATACTAGTGGTGCGTTTTGGAGCACGAAATTCAATGTCAAAATGATTTTTGACATTTGATTATGGCAGTGGGTTTGTACCACTTTTCCTAATTTAGTATTTCATTTCCAGAGGGTACCTGGTCGAAACGGTGTGCCTATACAGCTGGAGAATCCTTTATCTAAAAATCTTGGAACTGGAAGTGCTTCAGTGTTCAGATTTTTTTATACACATTTCCTGTTGACCAAAAGTTGTTGCCAGACAGAAAGAGAAATTGAGCCTAAATTTACCATAAAGTAAATATGTGTATTTAGTTTAAATACAGACCTGGTTATAAAAATGACTTCAAATGGCCACACATTTTGGCTTATACTCTTTTCCTGTCACCCAAAGTTTGTTGCCAGACTGCAAAGGAAAATAACCTTAAATTTACCATATAGTAAATATAAATGTGTATTTAGCTTGAGTAAAGACTGGATCATAAAAATAACATACAAGAACCACACATTTTGGCTTATACACATTTCCTGTTAACCAAAGGTTGTTGCCAGACAGAAAGATAAATTAACCCTAAATTTACCATATAGTAAATATGTGTATTTAGTACAGACTGGGTTATTAAAATCACTTGCAAGGACCACACATTTTGGTTTATACTCTTTTCCTGTCAACCAAAGGTTGTTGCCAGACAGAAAGAGAAATTAACCCTAAATTTAGAGTTAAAATATAAATGTGTATTTAGTTTAAATTTAGAGTTAAATATAAATGTGTATTTAGTTTAAATACAGACTGAATCATAAAAATGACTTCAAAGTGCCGTATATTTTGGCTTATACACTTTTTCTGTCACCCAGAGATTGTTACCAGACAGAAAGGGAAATTAACCCTCATGACACAGATGTCCATTTCAATTTCTTTCAAATTGAGCATGTAAATGTGTATGCACACACATATATTGTTTTATTCTGTGACAGACCTAAAACTATTTCTACAGAATTAAAGAAAATATTAAATAAATTTTATCACGCGATAAATCCAGAAAAGTTCGATAAAATCATATAAATATGATAGATATGATGTTTGGTTGATTTTGTTTAGTGGCATATCAACCTCTATGGGTCATTTAATACCAGAACATGAATAATTTAAACACAGCTTCATGCCTTCAACTACAGATAAAATGTGTAAATCACTCTTTCGAGTAGTTTGTAACGCATTATTTATCATCTCTCAGTTGTGTCTCTGTCTTTGGGCAGAGTGTGTTCAGGGGTGGCCCCCATCAAAGGAAAGAATTGCAACTGAGGAAAATTATACTGAGAGGTGTCCAGTCCTATGCCCTCTCAATGCACTAAAGAGAGGGAACAGTGCTCATACTGAGGCCAGTGCAACCGATGATTACGGGGATGCGGGCAATTTTTGTTCCTAGCCTGTGTGTAAGCAATCAGGCTCCCAACATTAAACCGACCTTGTGTCACAACCTGAAGTCATTTGAGTAAATACAAAAAAACTACAGATAAAATGTATTGCTAATCATTTTGCTTTAAAAATGTATTACTGGTCATTTTACTATAAATATGATTCGTTGTTCAAAATGACTATATATAAAATATATATAAAAATTATATAATTACATATATAAAAATTTAATGCTGGTATTTTTACTATAAAAATGTATTTTTATACTTTCGTAGTGTTTTGTCCATAGCTAGGAGCCTAAAATGTGCTACCATCCTGGGTCAGGGTGGACCTGGGAAAAACAACATTTAAGCTCCTCAAAACCTCCAGTCTCCTGATCAGAGGTCTTGATGTCAAAGGTTTTTATTATCATATCCAGGCATTTGCTGAGTCATACTATAAAACCTTTATGGCCATGCTTTCTTCATTTTTCATTTTTGGCATTTTTTATGAAAAGCCAAAGTAAAAGTGCCAATTTCTTCTTCTTCTTCTTCTTCTTCTTCTTCTTCTTCTTCTTCTTCTTTTCCTCCTCCTCCTTCTTCGTCTTCATCTTTTCCTCCTCCTCCTCTTCCTCCTCCTCCTCCTCTGCCTTCTTCTTCTTCCCTCCTCCTCCTCTTCCTCCTCCTCCTTCTTCTTCTTCTCCTCCTCCTCCTTCTTCTTCTTCTCCCCTCCTCCTCCTCCTCCTTCTTCTTTTCCCCCTACTCCTTCTTCTTCATCTTCTTCTTCTTTTCCTCCTCCTCCTCTGCCTTCTTCTTCTTCTTCTTCTTCCCTCCTCCTCCTCCTTCATCTTCTTCTCCTCCTCCTCCTTCTTCTTCTTCTTCTCTCCTCCTCCTCCTTCTTCTTCTGCTCTCCTCCTCCTCCTCCTTCTTCTTCTTTTCCCTCCTCTTCTTCTTCATCTTCTTCTTCTTTTCCTCCTCCTCCTCTGCCTTCTTCTTCTTCTTCTTCTTCCCTCGTCCTCCTTCTTCATCTTCTTCTTCTTCTTCTTTTCCTCCTCCTCCTCTGCCTTCTTCTTCTTCTTCTTCCTGATGTTAACTATAAGTATCCTTTTAGTTAAAACTTTCTGTAAAACTTTGTCGTTGCTCACATGTTCAGTCCATGGTATTCTCTTATCGTCATATCCAGGACTTGATAGATATGAATAGACTATCAATACACATAAATAAACTGATATCAATCAATTGAAAAAGAGTGAAATAATTATCAATAAGATACTAGAGGCCGTCTCACTGTAGGTAAGAGAACGTAAAGCTGATTATCTTTATCCTTTGTTTTATTTTTCTTCATAACCATATACATATGTATGATTGATTGTCGTTGATTTGTCTTTTTGATGGGTTATCAACCCTTTGTCGGTTATTAAAAGTCAAAACATATTTTGGATTGTAAGAATAATTTCTTTTCTTTAACCATCAGACATTTATTCCAAATGCTTACTGTATTAACAATTTTTCATTGACTGCATGATTCATTTTTACAGCTTATCAATGTTTTAGCAGATTATTTAAAGCCAGAAAATATTTTTTTAGATTGCAAAAATTTTTTTTTTTTTTTTGAGATAATAATGATTTAGTTATACAACCCTTACTAGCTGGGAAAAGAATAAGCGGATTCATACCTTTCTAAAGGGTATTTACACATCATATAATGAACCCAACAGGAATTGGAACTCAGCTCTTTGATCAACAATTCTGTTAAACTATCTGTTACACCATCCACACAATCAAGCTTACAGCACCTTATATTTCCAGGTAGTCACCCATCTAGGCACAGACCAGACTCAACGTTGCTTAACTTCAATGATCATACAGGAATTGGTGTTTCAACATGATGTGGCCATAAGCATAATTTTTGAGGATAATAATGATTTTCCAGATATAAGTTCAACTATTTAACCCATAGCTAGAGGGGAGGAGATGGATTCATACCTTTACAAAGAGTATTTGCACAATTGGTACACACATGTAAGCAAAGAAACAGGGGCACCTCGAGGCGGTGTAATGGCTAGCAAGCTTGTCTTGCTAGAACAGTTACGACCGAGTAGCGAGTTCAATCCTCACTGGGTTCCCCATACATTCAGCCTTGTGCCACATCTAAGCTATGCATAGAAAATCCTCTATTCGATCCTTACTGGGTACTCCACAACATCAGCCTTGTGCCACATCTAAGATACACTTAGAAAATCACTGTAAGCAAAGAGACAGTTTGCTGGACATAAAGGTGGCAATAAGTTTTTCTTTTCTTTTTTTTCCTTGTTATTAATTTTATGATTTTATTGTTCAGCCCAGTGTTGGGGTTGTCCAGACTGAATTGGAGGTTAATGTATTATTCCAATGTCTTATTTCAAATTCAGTCAAATTGTGTGTGTATGTGTATGCGTATGCATTAAATGACATACACACATGAAAATTACTCACACAATACTGACCTCCACATATACATTACATACATCCACATAAAGTTATTCACAGATATTATACAATGGACAGAGAATTGCCTCGTCTTTTATTGATTTTATTTATTGAGTTTGTTAATCCAAATTGGCATCAATAATTGAGTTCTTTCAGATTTACTCAAATCTGAATCATCTTCATTTCTTCCTTCATGTGCCATGTTCCTTCAAGACATTGGCAACTGTTTCGACTATTGAATTTGAATAAAACAGCTAATTAACAAGTTGCCTATAAAAAAATCATGTAAATTCTTTGATAAATTTTTGAATAGGCTTCTTTCTTCTTTGAGGCATTAAAATTTTGTATAAATGACAAGAAAATCCATTATGATATTCTGCTGAGAATGTGAATAGACATTCAAATATGGCAATGGTAATAATAGCCATTTCCTTATAAGGAAACAGTCATTGACCTTGCAGGTAGTGCTACTCTAGTTACATTTTTCTTCACTCCCTGGCTATCAAGCTGGGATTAAAGTGTGGTTTCTGTTCCCCTGATCTCTAATGGTAATGGCCGTCAGTAGCTTTATATCATATCCAAGAATTTAATTTCTTCTTTTCTGATCGCTTCCTTTATGATGATAGTGTTGATAACTAAGTAGACCAATTCTTGCATAGAAGAGACGATGGCATTGAGTGCATCCTAACATTGGAGGAGGACAAGGTTGATTTTGTCAAGGCCTTTCTCTCTTCTTGTTTGACTTCTTCCTTTTCTCTTCTAGTGGCTTCAAAGTTTTTGGTTCCAATGGTGATGGAACATAGCCAGTTGGTACAGTCTTGTGCTTGTGTTTCAAATGATTTAGGCTAAAGTTCAGTGGCTTTCAGAGTTGGTCCTTGTATCTTTGAAGAGAGTAATTTCATGGTCTTTTTCCCCCTGAGGTGAGCTCACTGAATAAGACTTGACATGGAAACTTTGACTCTTCCATTCTTGCTACATGTCCTGACCATCAAACACAGTATTCCATGATCAGTGATTTGATGTTTTTACTATTGGCTCTTTCCAAGCTATGCATAGAAAATCATCTATTCGATCCTTACTGGGTACTCCACAACATCAGCCTTGTGCCACATCTAAGTTATGCTTAGAAAATTATTTAAAGGCACCTCAACGTGGTACTACTCTAGTATGTTGGTCACATAGTAATTTCATTTGATGTTCAAGATTGAACAAAGCTTTTGCTGGTAAAAAACATTGTAATTTTTGGATGTCACAACGATATAGAAAGGTTGAAATGACAACAGTATTATAGGCCATAATTTTTGTTAAGTCCAAATCTTTGTTGTTGAAGACACATTTTATTAACTTTCCAAATGCCCCTTGTATAGCTTCAATTCTTTGTTCCACATCCTTTTCTGGGGTGCACTTGTTTGATAAAAGGCTGCCTAGATAAGGAAAATGTTCTACTTGTTCTAGAGGTGTATCACAGTTACTTAATATAATATCACTACAAATATGAATTTTTTAAAAGAAATTAGTTGTTTTTAGAACAAATATAATTGAATCTTAATTAAAAATTTTGTCTTGTCCCCAAAATCTTAACCAGTCAACCTAAACTAATATTCTATCACTGACAGGACAACATTAATTTTGTCAAGCCTTTCTCTCTTGCCCTTTTTCTCTTCTGGTGGCTTCAGAGTTTTGGGTTCTAATGGTGATGGAAGATCCCTAGCAGGTATGGTCTTGTGCTTGTGTTAATAATAGCTATTTCATAATAAGGAAATATCAGGTATTCATTGACCACATAACCAGTGGTACTTTTGGTTAAAATTTATAAAATTTTTCCATTAAAACAATTTTTCAATTTTCAGGAAAATGGATTTCTCAAGTCCACTAACAATTATAGCTCTTTCAACTATTGATATTCCTTCCTAACCTTTTGTATATAGAGGGGAACATCAGTATCTTGATTATATCCTTATTTTATCTTCAAGATACATGTATACGGATACAAAAGGTGCTTATCTTCCTTTGGTGGATATCACATAGGGGCAACATGATAGCTGTTTAGTGATGTCACTCCATATAGTGTTGAGAGAGACAGTCAATTTCAGTCGGTTTACAGTAGCCAAACCAAGAGGTTACTTTCTTTGCCCAGATACCTCATGGTCTGGACAGAGGATAAATCTGCCTCGTCAGTAGCTTACAAGTTCATGATATCATTACCCTTTGGGAATGTATCTTTCCCTTATATAGAAAGAATCTCCATCTCACAGTCCTCAGTTTGGGAAAACCCAAGACTCACTGTTTCATATTCATGGAATATATCCTCAACTGGAACATAGTAAATGAATTCAGCCCATTTAAATCTGGAGTCCTAAACATGGCTTCTCCAGATACAGATGTATCTCCATATTCTATGTAAGATCCTTCCTTTTTGTTTCTCCTTACACTCTGCTTTGCCATGTAGATATATGTGATATATTTTTCTCTGCAAGGGACATGTATATATATATATATATATATATATATATATATATATAGATAGATAGATAGATAGATAGATAGATAGATATGTATATATAGTTTTGTATATGTCTTAGTGGCATAAAAATCTCTCCTGGAACAAAGCATGTTTGTCATTCTTTTCCTTTCAGCCATTCTGTACCATCTGGGAAGTACAGTGTTATTATATAATGGATATAATAATTCCCATAATGGGAGAATAAATCTTTCTACCATATCTCTCTTCCATTACACATATAATATCCAAACAGATTGCAATAAAGCTAAAAAACAGATATATGAAAAAATATATGAAAATTTCATATGAAAAATACAAGAAAAAACAGATATATGAAAAACAGATACGAAAAACAAATATGAAAAATGGGTATATAAAGAGATTGGAATATCTCTTTCATTACACATTTTAGTTGTTATTGAAAATACTGAAGTGATGTGGTTTCTGTTATCTAGTACAGTTATTTGTTTGTGATTGTGTAGCACCAGTATTCAAGGTTTGAAAAGGATGGTCCTCATTAAAACCTACAGGATTTATTTGCTCAAAGTCATTTTTTAGCTTTGATATTGTATGGAGCTGACAGTTTAAATATTTGTGAACAAGTTTGGTGCTATGTATGACATCCATATGAAAGTCTTCATCTGACAGTGCTATTTAATATGGCCCAAGCTTATAGGTTAATGTTTTGGTTTTGCAACAATTTGTGGTATTGGGCAAAACTATGTCTGGCACAGCCTAATCTATGTTCAATTTCATTCTCTTCTATAATAAATTTTTTTATAACCGATCCATACACAATATATTTGAAGTGTTTAGTATTTACTAATTCTACATCCTGAATGTTTAAGGTTGATTCAGGATAGACACCATCAATGCTTTCATTCCATTTCCTGATTATAGTTTCTCTTTTGGAAAGGTTTATCTTCGATACTATTTCTTGGAACACATGGTAGAGGATGTTGATTTTTTTCCCAAGATCATTATTATCCTAGCCAGGATAACGTATTTCATCAGCATAGCATCAACCACATCCACCCATCGTCAGTACACAGGCCAAAAGAGAGAAAACAGGTATGCTGTTTTTTATTAGTAGATTTGTTTGGCATGTGGTAGAG